GAAAATCTCCAGTCTTAAATACATGAAGAAATACACCATGGCTAGCAAGGCAAGCCTTTCAGCTAGCAATCAAGTACCCACCCCCCTTCCCTTGCATGCCATAAGCAACAACCTAGAATTAAGAAGCTCGTTCTCTTTTTGAATATTCGGAAGGGGAGGGAGGGAGAGAAGCAGAAAAACTCATGCTCACAGGAGGTCTGAAGTTGCCTTGGACGGTCAAGAATCGTAAGACTTGGCCATTCTGTAAAGGACTGTTTGTCTTTGAAGCCTCAAAAAGGGAAAGTTCTCCAGGGCCCCAGTCTTTGCTGGCCAAGACCTCTGCTCCATCAACACTGAGCAACAACATAATCAGCGGAGGTCTGCCTCCGGTGCACGCACTGAAAACCCACATTCACGCACCAGCGGACTCCGCCGTTAAGGGTCCTTCGTCTGGGGCAGCCACAGGGCCTTCCCTCGTGAGGAGAGTTTCTTGCCGGGCAAAGACCTAATTCTACAAACAGACCCAATTGCTGGCTCTTATCTTCACATAAAAGTTCAAAAGATCCCACTTACCCCACATCCAATGGGTACACACATTATTTCCTGTGTCTCCACCACAACCCAGCTGGCTCCCTAGCCACATTAATTCCACTCTCTACTGATTGGTGGTGAATGACCCCTTCCAAAACTGGTGCTTACTGTATTTGGTGACTCAGCGGCATCAAAAGCTGTTGTTAAGCTGCTGTTTCTTTCCCTCCCTCTCTCTCTCTCTCTCTCTCTCTCTCTCTCTCTCTCTCTCTCTCTCCCTCCCCCACCCCCACCCCCGTTTCTAAGATTGGCCCAGGAAACTGAGTAACCTGCATTAATGAATATGCTCACCAGTGTTTGAATTAGCACTGACAGCCTGCAGGCACTTAGGTGTGTGGGGGCCCCCTCTCCCCCGCCCCCAACAACAAAAAGCAAGATCAAAGCATTCACGGCCAGGGATCCTGGCTCTCCACGGACCTTTGTCAGCCTCTGCAGCACATCCATCCAACCATCCACCCCACATAACTCAAAACATCTGCAAAATCCATGCCATCTGCCACCCACCTCTCCACCCCTCCACCCCTGCCAGTCTTACCTGTATCCATTTTCGACCGTTTCCGCGGACCTCACGTTAGCGGTTGCCCTCAGAGTTTTGCTGGACAAGCCAACCACAGTGGGTGAAAGTTTGCACTTGAAGTCAGCACAAGTCCACTCCTCTTCTTCGTTCAAGGTGGGGAGATAGCCACACACGACCTTTAGGCTCCCCAGTCCCCCGTTGCTCATATAAGCTGTGTTTTCTCCCCCACTCCTCACATATTCGAGGTATATATCAGAAGTCAAAAACATCTGGTACGCATTTTCCTCCATCACCGACTGGATCTCGGTCTGCGCCTGGTCAAACATGATGGAATCAATCTGTTGCTTCTTGATGCCATCTCTTATGTAAGTCTTGGTGGCGGGTTTCAGCTGCTTGGAGACAATGCTGTTGTTCTCGATGTACCTTTTGTAGATCGCTTTGGCTACGCGTAAAGTTTTGGTATCCTTCAGGTTCATCTGCCTGAATCCATTGCAGGCAAACCAGAAGTCTAAAGTATCCACGCATTTCTCCCTCTCCAGGAAAGTCCGGAAGAGATAAGCACCGTCTTGATCGCCCAACAAGGAGTGTAAGGACTTGGTCCACCTGGTCAGAGGGGAATCCGGAGATGCCCGCCCCTCCGGTTCCCCCAACCCATCCTCGTTCCGCCGGGTGTTGGAGGAGATGGGCATGGGTTTGGTGGCCTGGCCCTTCCCCACCGGGGGCTGGCAGGGTGGGGTCTCCCCTTCTTCCCCCGGAACCGGGGGCCGGGGAGCATCCTCCCTGAAGCTGCTGCTGGGGTCTGGCAGGCGAGTCACCAACACAGCACTACTCATGGTGAGCCAGCTCTTCTCACTGAGTTTGGGAATTGTTTTCTCCTTCCAGTTCCTCTCAGCGATCAGCGTGGTCTCTCTTTCTCTCTCGAGTCAGCAGGGGCTCATCTGAGCCTCCTTTCTGGGAAGAAAAGGAAGGGGGGAGGGTAGGGAGAGAAAAGGGTATTGATCTAATCAAAACCAGATCTACCCAACATCAAAGCAAGAAAGTAAACAGGCTTTTCAACTCCTCAAATTCAAATCAAGCAACCCAGCTATCAGCGAGGTGCTCATCTAAGGTATCAGACGCTTTTTCAAAGGCGAAATCTGAGCTCCCGGC